ACTAAATTGAGTACCTTTAGATTCGTGAATCTCGAGTAGGCAACTGGAGTGATGGGGAGCCTAGCGTAGTGGGTTCTACCTCCAAATCCATCGTCGTAATTCCCAAGGAGATCTATCGACTGACAGACTTCATAGCAGCAAGATTTGAAGAGGTTAATACCTGCATTGCAGCCTCAAACCCTTTCATCTTTTGTCATCAGTTAATGTCTTTTTTATATCTTTTCAGCCAGGTTTATTTCGTCAGCCGGAGATGCGATCAGACCTTCCCACCATTCGTGACACCTTGGACACTACTAATCATGACGTCCCTATCCGTACAAATGCATATTTATTATAAATAAAAGCTTTTGATGCTTTCACATAAGCTTCATCATTTACTCTTCCCGTTCTGCAGCAAGTACGGTGAGTGTGCATTCGGCGATCTACAGTCTCCTTGTATTTCTCAGTGCTCTACCTGAGCCGGTGGTGCCCTTTGCCTTCCAATCCCATTGTATTGCGTCTGCACGCCAAGCAACACCCAACAACGTCCTTCCAGCCTATCAAGCCATCGCGCGACTGCCCATCGACTACCAAAATCTCTTCTTCTACCTCGTGTCTTTCATCAAGTGGTGTCTCTCGTATCACGACAAAAATGGGACTAGCGTTGAACTGCTAGGTGAGTGGGTGCTTGTTGCTTGCTTACAGTTCATTGGTCAATCGTTCTGGCCAATCAGATGCGTAGTTTTGCCAGGCATTGAAGCTGGCTCTACTTTGAACAGTTGCTTCCTCTCCTTTCTTTTTGCCCCAGCATCAACATTTTCTGACATACTCCTCCGCGATCCGCCCTTCGCTGCATCTCCACCAACAGCGCCAGGTGTTAGAAACGGCCCCACAAGGAGTGCTAACGCCCACTACCAACAGCAACAACAGACGGTCTTGAGTCGCCAAGAGCTGAAGACGGTATTTTTACGGATTTTCATCACCAGTGATACAGAGGAGGTCATTCGACGGCTTAAACAGGCGTAATTTGGGAGAAAGGAGAAGAGAGAGACAAAGAATATTTAATTCAGTGATTTATCATAACTTTCATTACCACTCGCAATTTGTTGTGCTTCAACGAAATCCCCAATTTCATCAGGTGATTCGACTTTGAATCTGAAGTACCAAGACTATCCCGATCTGTTATGGAGGATAGGAATGTCTAAGGGCCACTTAATGGAATTGACGGACTGCGTAAGGCTCTCCTGAGAGGTTGTTGTGGGTAATGTTCCACATTTCATCAATTACGTAGGTGAACTCGGTCTCCGGGGTCGATGCTTTTGTGAACTAGTGTCCGCGCAATGGTGACGTACTCACCTATCGTGCCAAGTTGACAAGCGTTCGACGTGGATGGGATGTCTGAGATCGTCTAGATGATGCCTATAGAATCAAGGAGTGTTAAACTACGCTCAGGGTCAAACTCTGGACTGCTGGGAGCAATGCCAAATTTGCATGGTGGTTTTCCCACGTTGGCTTATGATGGCAGGATGCCAAATGGGCACTTGATGTGGTCAAAAGAAGTCTCAATTACTGGGTTGATTTTTGACGGAATGAAGGGCGTTGACGGTGATTTAAAGCACGTTCCTCATTCGCATAGAAGGGAATGGCTGGCATGGCAACGGTGGTGGGCGCATTCTCGCAGTATCAATTAATCTGCGATACGAGAAGTATAACTAGAGGAAATGCAGTTCAATACGGTATATTTATTGTCCATCCGAGTAGTGGCCACTTTAGAAGGAATCTTGCTTCTGTTGGATATGCTGAACTTAGGGAAACGAGTTAGAGTTCCACTACTTGCTCTTCTACCCAAACTTGGGCATTTCGACAAATTTTGTGCCTCCTGTTAGATAAGAGGATGTATCGCGACACTAAAAAGCAGGCGGCGGATTCACTATAATTCATTAGAAGACGTTTATCTTTGCTCGCATTCAAACCTTTATAAAGTAGAGGTTATGGGTCATAACTGTCCTGGCTTAGTTATTATATAAGTACGTTGATTCGTTTCCAATTGTAGATACGCTCCGATATCGCTTTCTACCCTAAGATTAACTATGTTGAATCAATAATGCAACTCCCATACTATTTTTCTAATGCATACCACGCTATAACAGTAAAAGCTATCTGTCTAGCTGGCTTAGCAAACCGACCTGTGCAAATTTAAAAGGCGAAAACTGCTCTCATATACACGTGATTATGATGGAGCTAGAAATATCGAGCAATATTTTGCTTCGATTTTTGAAAATATTAATTTATTTTTTTTATGAGGCAAAATAGTGACAATTATTGTTTTTAGTGCTATATCTTTTATAATTATTTTGTTTGTTTAAATTGATCACATCCTATGCATGAGGTCTTCAGAAAGGGTCGCGGTTAACTAAAGTTGTAGTAGTGATGGGGGGTGTGATGTCGTCAATAGTTCCTGGTGTGTATGTTGGAGGTCTGACTAGTGCTAGGTCAGAAAGTGAATTGAATCAGTGCCAAATTACACATATATGCAGCGCCTTCCAATATCCCTTGTCGCTTGTGAGTTTCTATTCAATTTATACGTATGAAACTTATTTCTTCCTTTAATCAGCACTTACTGTACTTGTATTTGGATTTCACTACTAAGTTCAATTGTCGCATGATTCTGTCTCCTTACATTGTTACGTGCAATGTTCTGTGTATTCCCTCTGTAGGACTCGAGGCGTGTTCACAAACAGTTCGTCGTTCAGGACTCACCAGATGAAGACATTGGCAAACACTTTGTCGATGCAGCTGATTTTATTCATGGAGCTCGAGTTAATCATGGAACAGTTCTTATTCACTGGTAAGACATCGATTTTCTTGCTCAATCGTACCTTATTTTAGCGCCTGCGGCATCTCCCGTAGCGTCTCCCTAACAATGGCCTATTTACTCTGCATTACTGATTTCAAACTTCGAGACATCTACAAAGGCATGCGAGCCGCCCGTCTAGGAGCCTGTCCCAATTACGGATTCCTGGTGGGCTTTGCTCTATCCCACGTTTGTTTCATTTTTTTGCGCGTAGGCATTCTTCTAGTTGACCTAATCTTAATAAACACCTACATCCCATTGGTTATTTGCACCCGCTTGTTGTGAATCAAATTACTCGATTAGTACTCTAACTGCACTCCACTCTTGATGCGCGATGTCCTATCTTATGCACTGTATCATTTGCCCCTCACTCATTAGCATAGCGAATGGATCAGTGATACTATTTTTGGCCGCTCATAGCAACGGTTTGTCTCACTGTTCAAGTGAGTCAGCAGACTTGCATATCCCTGCCGCGATCGCTGATAGGGAAGCTTCCTATTCGTGTTGATAGAGCTGTGAACAAAGATCAACCCGATGATTTATGATAGCCTGTTATCGGTAGCCTTAATGCATGTATGCCATGTCTTTCACATTTGGTTGTAGCGTAATGGAAGTCTGATGGTTATTCAAATGAAATTGGCGAGCATCAATGACATCGACTCTCCTTCAAACAGTCCAAAATCTATGATAACTTGTAGCAGTGAAAGGTTTTAACTTCTGTGACACTTCCGGCTGCAACAGCTCCCAATGCATGCCTTTGAGCGTCACTCCTTGCAATTATTTTGATGCATACATCAATTTTTTTCGTTACTCGGGACTGGTTTTTATACCGAAGTATTTCTAGCTGATGAACAGGTATAAATGGAGCCCTCTTTGCTAATATCAGCGCCAACTGCAGCGGTTCGAGGAGTCGGGTGACAACTTGAAAGCGCGGCAATTCCTCCTTGCAAAATACGGTGCCTGGCCAGCAGAGAAGGCTGCAGCAGATCAAGCAGCAATGGAGGCACACATTGCGGCTCAAGAAGCTTTCATCCAGACCGGTTACTACCCCTGGGACGAGCGACCATCCCCTGCGCCCGCACAAGGAGAGAAACCAACATCTACGCGTTTCATTTGTCGCTTATCTGACGGTGCCAGCACCCTGGAGGAGGCTCTGGCTTCTGCTCCTCCCTCGGACCAATAGGAGGGCTTTGACTTTTGACCATTTTCCCCTCATTCGTATATTTTGATATCTGTCTGTCTATGGCTGGCTGGCGGGGACTACATCATCCAATATAGATGCGCACACACTAGTTGAAGACATTATCATTTGTCTTCCTTCTCTTTTAACCGTTCTGAGATGCCTAATGATATACCAGAGTATCGCAGTTGAAGTGGGAGTGAAGAAAGGGTTGGGGTAGGTGATTGATTTTACCGATCGTCGACATTAAAAAGCCTCAGCGGACTAAGTGAGAGAACTTTCAGCATCGGCGCATCTACCACATCCTAAGTTTCGCTCCATTGCGAGGTCCATTGTGAAGAATAACTAGCTCAGAAGAAATTGACGGTCTGATTTCGTTAAAAAATACTTCCAAATAAACTAGAACATGGGTAGTGCCATAGACGCCATTTCTAGCATGTCGAAATTGTACCTCCCGTTTCAGTGTGATCCAGTGACCATTCATCGCTCTTGAATGACAACAGAATAAACCAAGTGTTGAGCACCAAATCACAAACATTTAGCGCCTCCCAAGGTGAGAAATTCATCTGTGGATTTCCGAATCGTGAAGGAATCTAAAAAATTGTTTCTGTCGCAATATATGTTGAATACATTGGATGAATCGACGAAAAATTTCCCCGTTGAAGCAGCATCACAGCATTGAGAACTACGTGACCTGAAAACTTGGCATGCGCCGTCTTCCTAACGAAATATGCGATTTTCGAGATCACACACCAGCGCTAAAACCCCCAATGCGCTCTTTTTCGTAGATGAGGTCCGTTTGTAGAGGGAATAGGTAATCAAAGGAAATGATAGAGTAGGTGTTCAAAAAAGGGTCTCAAACAGTGTTTGTGAGCCCTTTTATCATGCCTGTGGACCCTCAGACCTACTTTGTGCATTCTTCCACCTTGCTTCGCTCTAATCAGCCACCAAAGACGGCAATGACTAACAAAGCAGAGACGCTAGATACAAGTCCCTGTTCTTTTTTTGTAATTTAAGCAGGAAAGATCAAACAGCATCGTTATAAATACACTCAACAAAAATGCCCACAATGGTCGCCAAAAAATCGGAAGTGCACGTGACTCCACGCCGCTGAAGAATGCAAGCAAATGGAAAAAAAAGGTAGTTCTCAACGAAAAAAGTATCGCAAAAAGATGATGGAATAGACAGCAAACTTACCATTCATCAGTGCCATCCACGTGTGTAACCGCGACGGATAAGATTTGAGCGCAAAATAGCTGCCTGGAGGCGCTGGTGGCATTGGTCGATGATGTTTAGCGTGTTGGAGAAGGTTTGGTAGCGGGGATCCACTTTCAGTGAGCAGAGGAGCTGGAAATAACCGCATATTGAAGCATCAATGCGAACATTATACACACCAGTGAGTGATGAGTGTGCTTCATTTTAAGTTCCAACAACTAGAGAACATATCTCGCTTCAATCCAGACACCGTGAGCTCAAGTGGAGACGACTGGAGTACCTTGTCAATGAGTGCTCGTTCAAAATGGGGCACTTAGTGCCTGCGACGACCCATGCCGTGAGGCTTGCCAATTCGGAGCCTCAGGAGGGGGTTCCAGCAAACATAGAGCGCCCAATAAAAGCAAAGCACGTCAAGAAACTAAGGTACTATATGTTGGACAATAAGGAAGTCTGTAAGACCCAGCCATAAGTACATTACATCAGCAAGAACTCAAAATGAACAACAAAGTAGTCATATTTTCAGCAGTGGTTCAGTGGTCCTCATACGTCTATTCAACCGTGCTGCAAACGCCTCTGCAATGTTGATTAAACGCCTAGCCATGAAAACATCAAAGACATGTGACCGCAACCGATTATTTCAAAGCGAATATATTCAAGGTTGTGATTAATGCCGGTGCCTAAACCACAATCAATGTACTCAAACCAGCAGACCTGCTTTTCCGAGTCGATACGACCTTTAATGTGTCCTTTGCGTATGAGCTCCGCCAGTTCATTTTCTAGATCCGTCACACCGGTTCTGAACACCGCCGCCATCAACTTGAGATCAGCGCAGACATAAGGCACAAAATACTGACACATTGCCTTCATTCGAATCCTCTCGTACAACGCTTCCACGTGATCAGCAAGGAAAATATCCAACCTGAGGAAGTTTTTTATCCTTCCCAAGGCGTCAAGACAAGCCGCATAGTTGGCAGAGTAGAAGGCGGTAATGATATCACGGCATTCCGCCTCTGCTTCGAGAATGAGACGGAAGGTGGGACTGTTGAGCACACGCGAGCGCAGTTCGCCACGATCTAGTGTGGCCAGAGCACATAGCGTCACACAGTAAGCCACATTAGTCGACGTGAGCAGAGAGGCCGCTTTGTCCGTGGTACAATCATCCGGATCGCAGTTAGCCTGTGCAGGCAGCAGAAAGACAACGAAAATGGAACAGAGAGACAACACGACCAAAACAATATTTCGGTCACTAACCCCCACCCCACAGTTGCGT